GTTTGATCTGTGTAGTGAAACCTGTAGTCCGTGTACTAACATACATTAAAAAAAGAAAAAGGATAGCAAAAACAAGATTGATGTTGCTTAAGTGTGAGATATTCAAGAAGTCCTCATAATCCCTGGTTAAAACAGAGATCTAAAGCAACTAGGGGAGAAAACCATGAGCATATCCAGGCACAGGGCATTCCTGGAAAAAGGGAATAATGCATGCAATGATTCTGAAGGGCCCATAATTGTTACGTTCAAAGAACAGAGAAGTGGCCAGGCCAGTAATGCTGGTAAAGATGGAAGGAGATTACAGCCAGCAGGCCGATCATGTGAGGCTTTGGGGGACTTCTACGGGCTTTCAAATTCATTCCAAACAAGATGAGAGACCATGGACGGTCTATCTGAAGAAATGACAGAATCTAAGATATTTACAGGTTTTTCTTCTGACTGCTGTTCTGTAGTAAGAACAGATCACAGCAGGTTAGTTTTCTTCCTGCATTGATTACCTGCCATACCCTTTTAGCTGAATTCAATCTGTACCCTAAGGTTCCCTAAAACTATGTAGCTAAAGCCTCTGGTACACAGCTAGGAGTAGTAATTGATGTTCTCATTGATCAACAAAAGTAAGAAGGTCAGCATTATCATAGAGGGACACTTGATGTCTAAGGAATAGAACATTTTTATTTTATTCTAAAATGTCATCCTTGGAACAGCTCAAATACATACATTAGTATTTGAATAATTCCTCTTATTCTCTACTTTATAAAAAACTGTAATCAAGGGCTCAGGATGTAATCTAGCGGTGGAACACTTACCTGTCATGCACAAGGCCCTAAATTTGGTGCCATGCAGCACAAAAATAAAAATATAAATTAAAATAAAATAAAACATTTATTAGTGGGCCATCTTAACATAGCCTATGATCTTTCAATTTGAAATTTAATGAAAAATGGATATTTAGTTTGAATCTAGTATTATTTTAGTTACTTTGGAACTGAAGGTTGTGCAAGATAGTTTCTTTCTCTGAAGTTACCAATGGCAGAGGGCAAGTACTTGAAGAACCACGACATTGAGGGAAGACCAAGTGCTGACCAGGGGCCTCAGGAAAAGCCTCTTAGAGGACGAGCTGTGTGAAGTGACCTTTTGTATGCTGGCAGGAGTTTCGCTGCTTGGGCAGAGGGCTTTATAGAGTGAATGGAGGGAAATAATTATATATGCGTAAGGCAAGAAAGCATCTAAGTAATTAAAAGAACTGTTTAATGTGATCATGTAGTTTAGATTGCTGGCCTATGATTTTAATGAGTCAGATGCAAAACAACACAGCTTGTGTCAGGACATAAAATATAAATACCGTTCATTTTGTTTGACTTACACTGGAGCTATGGTAAGCTTAGATTTAACTAATTGTGATTCTCTGATTGCTGAACATTAATCTGTTTCTATACTTATTTCCCTTTTTACCTTTGTTGAGATTACAAGTGTGTGTTTTCATGTCCTTCAAGGTTTCCGTGCTTTTAATTTTATTTTACATATTTCAATGAAAAATTTAAAATTGATCCAGTGTGATACTACCGCCTGTAATCCCAGTCATTTGGGAGACCGAGGCAGCAAGACAACA